GGGATACAGCATTGAACAAAACAGGCAAAACCAAAACAAAACAAAAACCCGCCCTCAAGAAACTCACATTTTAGTAGAAGACATTTAAGCAAAGAAAAATAATAGTATGTTGGATGATGATAAGTGGTGAAGAGTGGGCCACGTGGAGATCTGGAGAATGAGTGTCTCAGGCAGAGGGGTATAGCAAGTGCAAAGGTCCTGAGGCAGGACTGTGCCGGGCACAATTGAGAACAGCAAGCATGGCAAGGGGGAGAACGAGGGAGGTGAGGTCCAGCTCCTGCAGGGCCTTGTGGACATGGTGAGGACTTTGTCTCTTACTCTGGGTGAGGTGGGAGCCAAGACTCGGGGGGAGGGGTGTGTCCTGCGCAGAGGAGAGACAGGACCTGATTTCATTTTAACAGGACCCTGCCGGCTGCGAGTGGAGTGTAGACAGTCAGAGAGGCAAGAGGAGAAGCAGAGACATCAATGAGGAGGCAACTACAATAGTCCAGAGAGAGATGATGGCCACTTGGACCAGGGTGGAGCAGTGGTCCACTTGCAGATACAGGTTGAGGGTAGAGACAATACAATTTCTTTTTTCCTGAAAAGTGGAAGCAGCTGGTCTCTCCTCGTGTGTTTTGGGTTCAAGAAAATGAGACCTGGTTAGAAAGTAGAGACTTGGTTACAACCTGCTGGGCCTGTGTCAGGCAGGCATTGAAAGGGACGGTTTAGGTCTTTGTGCGCTAACAGGGTAAACACCCAGAGTATGTTGGCAAGGGAAAAAAGGAAGATGTAGAATAAAATGGAAAATGATCTCATTTTTGAAAAATTAAAATTACGAACATGAGCAGATATGAATGGTCTGGAAGAACAGGCATATCTGACTCAACAGTGGGATTGCCTCTTCGACCGCACAAAATACAATAATAATAAGCCCTGTTTTCAGCTCTTTTTAAAATTGCTGTGGGCATGGCTTGCTTCTGCCATCACAGTGTGCTGCTCTTAGCCAGTGTCCATCCCTACCTGGGCCTCCTCCTTGGCCTGGACTGTAAGGGAGGCGGAACTTGGGAAGGAGAAATATTTTCCTCTCGTGCTCGCTGGCTTGGGAGAACTGGAAAGGACCCACCTGGCTCCTAAGGTTTCTAAAAATAGAAAGTTGTCTTAACTTGCCTATAGTTTTGGCTTAGCTGTTCCTTCTACTCGGTCCAAGATGCCGTTTGTATTAGGGAATCACACACTGCGCATGAAACATACAGGATGGCAGGAGTGAGACCTGCAGCCGAATGGAACGGAGCAGGGAGCTGCCAGTGATGGGAAGCCAGGAGTGCTGCCAGTTTACACACCTTCTATCCCACCCGACCTGTGCATTCATTCCAGCGCTTAGGGCAGGAGAGAGGAGTCCTGCTGTGGGTTTGTTTTAGCCGAGAGGAGGAACTGAAGGGAACTGTGTCCACGGCCCAGTGCCTGGAGTTTGAAACCCTCCGGCTGAGGGATCAGTGTGGTCTGTGGCAGGCCTTCTGAGACCCTGGGCACAAGCATATATGTTGTGGGGCCAGTGGTGCGCTGGTAAAGGTTTAACAACCAGCTCTCCAGGAGAAAGAGTGTGTGTGTGTGTGTGTGTGTGTGTGTGTGTGTGTGTGTGTGTGTGTACATGTGCGCATGTATATAAATCTATGGAAATACACGCACACTTACATATGCATACATATATACTTAGGATTACTATAGCTTGTATTGATATGAAGCTGGGGTAGCTCAGAATTTACAAATAAAAAGGTACAATGCTCCGTTTTGCAAACTTCATATCATCACTTGATTCACACAGAATGTTTTCATTGACTTTCACCCCTGATACTTGTTTCTGTGGTCGACCTTTGGTTATGACTGATGAGCACCTGGATTCTTTGGGAATGCCAGCTGATATTTCCCGACATTAAAGAGTAAGACGAGTGGCGCGATGGTTAAGAACTGGCTTGGGACGCCAGAGGGCCCCGGTTCGGATTCCATATATGAGGGCCAGTGACACTGCCCTCTGCAGCTAAGATGCTGAACAACAGCTCAACCTGGAGCTGGGCTGCCCTGAGTCACCGGCGACGGCATAGGCTGCAGCCCCTGTGGCAGTGGGTTGCCATGGGCTACCATATGTAGCCAGCAGCCAGCGTGAGCGGCCAGCAGCCGCAGTGAGCGGCCGTCCAGAAGCCGGCGACTGATCTGCCTCGCCCGGGAAGAGCGCAATGATGGTGCCAACTTGGGCCAGTGAAGCAACGTCCTCCACAACTAGACTGAAGAACAAAACGACAGCAACTTGTCTGTTCCCATTCCCCCAATTCCCCAATTAAAAAAAAAAATTAAAAAAAAAATTGACAAGCTTTAAAAAAAAAAAAAGAGTAAGACAAAAGTGATCCACCAAAGAGCGTGTCGGAACTTCACTCATTTGTCAACAAAATGAGCAACTTCCTTGACTTTTGGTGCTGTTTGCCGTGTAAGAGCAAGAGAGTGAACACGCTTTTATGTTTAATCTGCACTGTTAACATTTTCCCTCAGTTCCTCAAATCTAGACAATGAACAAAACAGGCAAACCCTGAGTTGCGCTGTTTGCTGACTGCCAGTGTGGCCGACATGAGGCTACCAACGTGATGTCACTAAAGAAAAAGAAGAAGAAAGAAACTGGGGAGAAGCACCCAATAGCACCCAGTTATAGAGAGTCTCTGCTAGACAGCTACCATTGACAGAAATAGCCGCAGGAGCACAGATAATAGGAAAATGTAGTTTAAAAAATGGAAAATGAGACTTTTGAGAGCATATAACCTTTGTTTTTAATGTATCTTAAGTTTATGAAGTTTAAGTTTCGGTAATGGCTCTGTTTAGAAACTAGTTCACCAAATTCCTGAAAATCTGACAACAGGCTTTCACAAGCCAGTACCAGCTGGTTCCCACACTCTACTGTGTAAGGACCACATGGCAAGGGTATCAGGGGTTGGGGAGGAAGCCATTCCCTCCACCTCTGCCCAGAACCCAGAGCAACCCAGGCGGGACCTGACGGCTGGGAGCATTGGGAGTGCTCAGGATGGGCAGTGCCAACAGCGAAGCTTCTCTAAGTGACCACGGGGACAGATTCAGGAGCGGACGAATAGGACAAGAGACCAGTTTATGAGTCTGTGTGAGATTTCCCTTTGCAGCAAGAACTGGGGGACATTGGGGGGGTGCTGAGCTCCTGATGATGAGTAGATGAGGGCTGTGTAACCAGCAGACATCTGGGTCATATCACTCTGCACAAAAACAAAGCTGCAAGACAGAACTGGGCTTTCAGCAACTCACGAGGCTCTGCAGAAGCTCATGGCACCAGAGGACTGTTATCACGGCATCAGTGATGTGGCACGTACATCTTCAAGGCCGTCGTAATTCCAACCTCTTCCGGTACCTTCTCTGATGCCAGATTCACAGGGGTCCATGGGGCAATTTTCCGCCTCCCTAAGCTGTCTCTCACCCTCAGACACCCTCGCCCAGGTTTAGAACTTAAATGCTCTCCAACCAGAGTCATAGAAGTTTAGAGTGGAAAAGAGATTTTAGAGATTTCTTAAAATAAGCCCTTTGTTTTATAGACAGGGAAACGAAGGCCAGGAGAGGGAAGTGATTAGCTCAAAGTTAGAAAGAAAACTCAAGGGTAGAACTGGGTAGGGTGACCAGCTGTCGCCATTTGCCCAGGACTGAGGAGGGTTTCTGGGACAAGTTGGTCACCCTAGACCTGGGACCACCACTCAGGTGTTGGCTCGAGCCCAAAGTAGAGGGCCTGGGCCAGTCCCTGGAAGGACAGGCAGCCTGAGTCAGTACAGAACTGCAGGATGGAATTTTCCAGGGAAGAGAAAAGAGGAGACCACATCTGGGTGCGGGACCTCCGACTCTGCCCAGGTGCCCGGCACCAGAGAGATTTCCCACCTGCCGCAGCCCTGCTGTGCGTTTCTTATCTCTTGGCTGCTGCCAGCCACAGCTGCAGGGATGTATATGCAAATAGCCTGCGATAATATTAATGTGTGATTCCCACGGGGAGGCATGTGGAAAGCACTGTATGTGTTTCACAATTCTATTTCGTCCAGAGGAGCAGTGGGGGCCCAGAATGATTTGAAACAGATTTTTGAAAAGGCAAACTAAAATTGGAACAAAACCTAGTGGAGGCATGTGCCACTCTCTCCACCCCCAGCTCCCTCCACGCCTGCCCAATATTAACCCTCTTCTCCTAGAGCAGGGCAGCAAACGCAGCACATGGTACCCGGCACTCTTCATTCAAGCCAGCAGCCCCTGCCCATCCCAGGACAGCGTGTCCCCTCCCTGGGCTGACATCCCATCCAAATAGCTGAAGGCTGTGCACACTGTTGCTTCTTCCTCTGTCCCACCTCTGCCTCCCTCCTACAGCTTATGCTCCCTCCTCCTTCACCCTTGCTTCCTGGGGTAATTGCAGAATCACAGAGTACAGAATACAGACTACTGGGTGTGGGCAGTTTAGCGGAAGTCAAGTCAGAAAGACCGAGATCTGATTCTCATCTCTGCCACTGACCAGCTGTGTGATCTTGGGCAAGTTGCTTCACTTCTCTGAGCCTCTGTTTGCTCTGTGTATGATGAGAACAAGAAGAAGGAGAAGGAGAAGAAGAAAAGCCCTAGCCGACTGGGCGCTTGTGAGGACTCCCAGGGCTAAAGCTTCATAATACTCAGCAGAGTGCCTGGCACACAGCAGACGCACAAGAACTAGCAGTCATAGTAAGAGCCCCTTGAAGATCACCTCCTTCCACCGCTGCATTTTAGAGATGGACAAAGGGAGGCCCAGAGAAGGGAAAGCAGTAGCCCAAGACCACACAGCAAGAGAACGACCCTCTCTCATCGCGGCCTCAGCAGCGGCAAGCTCCCTTCCTCAGGCTTTGGGAGCCTCAGGCTGGGAAGTGAGTAAGTGCTGCCTGCCTCACACCTCTCCTGCCTCTGCAGCCTGGTCCCCACGCCAGCGCACGCGGGACAGGACGCTTGGCACTCACCATCAGCTGACCTGGACTTTCAGGACCGGGTCACACCATCCTCCTCAAAGCAGTCTGGCTTTCTCCATCGCGGAAGCGTGCATCGATCGATCGGCTCTCATCCGCTGTAGGACTCAAGGCGATGAGCCAGGACTTGGGAAAGCCCTTCCAGTCTGGCCGCTCTGGTTGGCGTTCGAGTCCGAAGAACCCGCTCTCCCACGGCTTCGTTGCGGTGCCGGCTCTGATAGTAGCAGCCGAACTCTTATCTGGCCTGTGTCAGGGTGCAGCCGGTCGTGGAGCCCGGCTTCCAGGAAGCCCGCCTGGGGGGCCCCCCTGCAGGCCCTGCTCCCCCGGATGCTGCCTGCTGCTCTGGATGTGGCCGATTGCCCGTCAGTGTCACTCCGAGCTCTGCCAGGGAGAATTCCATGCTGGCCCCCAGCAGGCGGGGCCCCCACCCCTTCACGTCCCACCCCCCACTCCCATCTTGGCAAGGGGACTGGGAAAGGCAGCTAGTTTCAAGTCCGCACAGCGTTTGTGGTCGTGTCCCGAGCTCTCCACGATTAATCACGGAGCATCTGATTTCTGCTTTGCTTCAGAGGGGGGTGTGGGGACGCCTGGAAGTTTCTGTTTACTCGATTCTGCACCGGGCCGAGTGTAATCACAAACAGACAGGGACGCCGCACCGCCCCCACTCCCGCCTTCCACTTCTTACCTTGCCGCTTTAGCGTCGCCCTTCTCACACTCGCTCCTTTCCTTCCTTTCTTCCCTCTTTCTCATCCGCGCCCCTCCTCTGACCCAGGTCTGACCCTCCACAAAGCCCCTTCCTCTGGTCCTGGGTTCCCCCCACCCCAAAGCCCATCATCCCCTCTGCACCTCCCACTTCTCCTGGATGCGAATTGGCTTGGCCTTTTCGCTTTACATCTTTATAGTTAGAGAGCAGCCTCTTTTACTGCTTTCCCCTCTGGTTTTTTTTTTTTTTTTACAACCTAATTATTTCAGGGTTTGCCCCACAACACGCGCGCGCGCGCATACACACACACACACACACACACACACACACACACACACACACACTCACACTCACACACTCCTGTTACATTTGTGTGTGTAAGACTCCTACAGACTCGGTATCTCTGAGTCAAGGGGTGGGTCCCTGCAGGACCCATGACTCATTTTGTCACCTCAACACAGCTCGCTTTTGGATTCTGCTCAGGGATGCACCCAGGAACAAAGTCCCCATTGACGGCCTGCTTGGAGAGGCCGGCCCCTGCAGTGCCTCCAGGCCTGTAACACCTAGAGATGAATTTCTCTCTCTGCCTCTCCTTGGCTCCCTTCCACCCTGCAGCCACTGCAAACAAGAAACCAAAACCAAACAGCCCCAAAGAACAGAAACTGACACCCCTACCCACCAACACACACACACACACACACACACACACACACACACACATGCACGCACGCTCTGAAGGGTAAGTTGTCAAGAGCTTTGAAAACCGGAACTGAGCTGTCAGCCTAAGCATCACGCATGTGTGTGTGCGGAGGCATGCACTTAGAGGTTTGCTAGAAAAACTTATTTATCATAGGAAACAACTGGAAATAAATATCCATCAAATAATGACTGGTCAAACAGAATGCAACAGAGGTGTAGCAGGCCTTACGAGGTTTAAACAGAGTGAGCTGTGTCTTTCTTAACAGAGGTGGATCTCCAAGACCTGTTATTGAGTGAAAAGGGGGTCATAATGGTACATTCAGCATAATCCTGATTGTGTAATCCTCCCCTTACACACACATAAAACAACATACTATGGAAACACATATAAAGCCAGGAAAATAGTCTGGAAGGATATAAACCAAACTGAGTCATTACCTCTGGGAAAGAGGGAGGCAGAAAGGTTTAAGGGTGGTGCTCTGACCTGCTAAGAGTTTCATTTCAAAAAAGGAAAATGGATTCGTTTATTACTTGTGTCCCAGGTTCCTTGCCTGGGGACATTGCGCCCCACACGTGGAGAAAATTCCATCCACCCATATTTGCCTCCTTGGACTAACTCAAAGAATCCTACAGTAAGTCAGCGGACAAAATAAACAGCACTCCTGAGGAAGGAACCCAAAAATTCTGCAAACACTCCAGTTGGATCACCTCCGGTTAGATGTTTGGACCCCTTGAGCCAACAGTGACTTATCACAGAGTGAAATTCCTTAAAAGCATGGGAGCTGTCCAGTTATTCTGCAGTGGGATTAGGCCTCCTGGCAATGAGGACAGCAGACATATACTTGAAAGGAAAGTACTGGAAAGTGATGACTTGGTTTCAGGAAACCATGTCACTTACTCTAACTTATAAAACATGAAAACCATTTTGAAGCATTTTAAAGGAATGAATGTGAACGAGTTCAGACATTATGCAAAGGACGGATGAGAAAACACAGCTTCAGTTTAGCCATTTCCCTCCCACTCACTGGCTACATGGAGGACCATGTGTCACAGAGACAGTGGGCAAGCAGACCTTGTGTCCGATGCAGGGTGCTTTCTCACATGCTGTGGATGGAATTCTCCTGCATGCTTTCTTCTGTTTCTCGCTTGTCAAACGCTGGCTTCAGGAATTCAGCTGGGGGGGGGGGGGGGGGGGGGGTATGTAGAGAAGACAAATGACATTCTCCACAGCCCTGAGCCAGTGGGGACACCCAGCCCCTCCACCCTCATCCTCCAGGGCAAACGGAAGCTCCAGGTTTGGAACCTGGTAACCTCGAGCTTGGGGTTTCCAGCCATCTGAGGGCATGGCAGAGTTAGACCATGTAGTTTCCCAAATTGGGACTCACCCGGGGGACGCCCAACAGCACTTTAGATGACACACAGACTAGGCACTAAATAAGGCTGACTTTTGTAGTGGGGAAGTCGTTTTACTCCGGTGGCAATTTTCTTCCAATCCCGTTGGCCTGGAAGAAAGGCTCAGCTTTTTGTGCTAATCTTTCACACCTCTCTTAAATTTACTAATCTCCCTTTTTGACAAAGAGAAAGCAAGCCTCAGGCTTGGGTCATTCAGCCTCCAACGCTAGAATTGTGTCTGGTGAGTGATGGTGGTTTCCCATTGACACTTTCCAATTTTTTAAAGTTTAAGTAATTCTACTAGATAAGAGAAAAACTAGCAAACCCTAATAAAACATGGAAGGAGTTTGGTTAATAATAATGTATCACTCTGGGTGTGTTAGTTGTGACAAATGTACCATCACAATGTAAGATGGAACAGAATGAGAAATTAGGTATAAGGCATATAAGAATTCCCTGCACTCTTTGTAACTTTTCTTTGTTTCTTTTTTTTTTTTGTAACTTTTCTTTAAATCTAAAACTATTCTAAAATGGAAAGCTTATTTAAATATTTTTTAATGGACCCAGAAAATGAATAATTCCATGTCATTTTTTTTAAATGTATAGATGGACAGAAATAGGGAAAGCAAATGTGGCAAATCCATGAACAGGCGGGGAATCTAGATGAGAGGTATATGGGTGTCTTTGGAGCTATTCTCTCAACTTTCCTGCAGGTTTGAAATTTGTCAAAACAAAAAGTTAGGAGAGAAAGTGAATCGACTTAAAGAAAAATACTAAGTACCTAAGAGCACAGGTGGCAAATGAACTTTGGCCAAAGTTGTCAAGGTGGTGCCTGAGTTGCCGGCATATGGGGGACACTCGGCTAAGAGGTGGCCTGGCAGGGAGATATATCTGTGACGATTCCAAGTGACCCCCCCCACTACCTGTGGCCCCAGAATCTTCTCTGCAGCCCCCACAGGAACACACCTCCAAACAGCACAGCGTTTCTAACGCTTCCAAACTATTTCCCATCTGCATCCATGTTCCCCTCACAGCAGCCTCATGACGTAAGCAGGGCAGGTGTCCTCATCCTGTGTGCCAGGCTGGGCATTTCGGGGACAGAGATGAAGAAGGAGGAAATGGTCTGGTGGGAGACAGATATGTATGTACATAGAGGCCTTCAATGCTAAGTGCTAACTTTAGCCCAGGTAGTGAGTGCCTGGTGGGTGGTGTGGGAGGGGCCGCCGCCTTTGAGAATGAAGGGGTTGCTCCAGGGAAGTGTGTCACCAGGGAAGAATGAATAAGCAGAAAGGTTACGTGATCTTTCTAGAAGACCTCTGTTCTCAGGCCCTCAGGGCAAGGCCAAGCTGGCAGGCTCTGAGCCCCTGCAGAGCCTCGCTGTCTGTCCCCAAAGGGATGAACCTTAGTCCTCGTGTCTCTTGCTTGAAGAGGGTGGTGAGGTGCGTTTAGCAGGAGAGACGATCTCCGAAACTCATCCCACTCGTTACACTCCATCATCCTCCCGCGATGATGGCATCAAAAGTCTCCTTTTTTAGCCACCCTGTCAACCTTCAGTGCTGACAAGAACGTGAGATTGCTCAGTTCTCCCTGGAGATAAATATCGCGATCCATCATTATTTCCAGGCTTCTCCTCCACGCCCATTTCAACCCACAGCCTCACTGCTGGCACCTCTGCTCCACAGTGACAAGCTGCCATTTCATCAGAGAGACGTGGGCTCTGCTGAGCTGGGGCAGCATTTGAAATGACAGGCTTGCCCCAGGGCCTCAGTCGGGGCCATAAACCTTGGTGCAGCCAGGGAATGAATCTGCCTTGAAACCTGGAGCCTATTCGTTGGGGGGATTTGCAAAGGCTGCGTCCTGCCCTGAAAGAAAATCCCAGACACCCTCCACGCTCCCTTAGGGACCCTCCAGAGTCAAATATTTTCAAAACCAACTCCAGTTAAGTAAATAGTTTTCTGCACGTGAGTGCGCACAGGGTTTCTCGGAGAACCTGACGTTCTCCACTTGGTGACTGTCATGTCCTTACAAACATAACATTGAAAGCGATCCTTGCATTCCCAGGATGACTTCCCCAGCTGAGGAATTCTGCGACCCTCCTTGAGTTCAGGGCTGTTGCTTTATTTGGGGCTTATATGACAGCACCCCCCTAAACACATCCTGTACAATTTGATAAGAGCCCTTTGCACCTTCCCCACCCCCACACCTACCCCGTGCATGCTTTTCTTTGCCACAAATTTCTAGGAAACTCTTCAAAAATGTGCCGCCTAAATTGAGCCCTGATGCTAGGAGCACTAATGGGGCCCCCTCTTCAAAGCACTCCTCTACAGCCCAACAGTGTACGGGGTGCTACAAACAATGGACTGAAGCGCACAATTTATTTGGGTTGGCTGGTTGCATGCTGGTTGGAATCTGCTTGGGGCGGAAAACAAACCCGGTATATGTTTAGATTTATAAATTATCCTGAAAGCACAAATACCTCATAACAGGGCTAGAGTAAGACGCAGTTAGGAGGCACTGCACACGCAGGCTTTGCTCTTTCCTGGGAGCACTAAGAGGGGTTATGAACTGCTTTTTTAGTTAAGCCACCTTTTCCCCACTCCCACCACCAGAGCATCTATGGCAGAAGCTGTAGACTGACTGACCCTTGTGCAAATGCCCTGATCGGGCTCCTTCCCAGACGCACTGGGGAGGTGACTGTCCTATGCACCACTCTAAGTGGTTCCCACTGACCGCTCCACTCCATCCTCACAACAACCTTCCTAAGCGTCACAGTCCCCACGCTAGAGAGGAGGAAACTGAGGCACAGGAAGGTGGAGGCACTTCCCCAAGGTCCCCAGCAAGCAATTGACAGAGCCAGGAATCTAACTTAAGGAGTCTTGCTCTAGAACCAAGGCTCTCAATCCTTAGGTACTTTCCTAATAAAATCTACAGAACAACTAGCCAGAACGGTTTATTAACTGGACGTTTTACTGCAGCTGC